CTGAGATTTTTCCAGCCCCGCTCCTTCTATTGATATAGAGGACTCCGGTTGCCGATTCGTGACCCCGCTTCTGAAACCCTTTTCTCACCTACATAGAGAATTGGTGAATAGAACTCCGGTTGTAGGCCAATTTGCGACCCCGCTCCTGATACCCTTTCCTCACTTAGGGAATCGGTGAATAGGACCACGGTTCCCGGTCGACTTTCCCTGTTGATACAGTCTTCCCTCCTGTCTCCGCCGCAGAAGTATTTGCTCGATGTCTAAATCGAGGCTTCCCGCGCTACACTTCGCTGTTTGTTCACCACAGAGGTACCCACTACTGCTGTTGCAGCAGTGGTAACGTGTGTGTATAATGAACTCTCAGCCCCTTGGTGTAGATGACCAAGTAGTGCGCTCACTTTCGTTTCCGCTGACCGTTGATGATCTCCCAAATCTCCGAATCCAGATTTCCGCTCGAACTCTACAGACGGATGTTGTAGTCCACAGCAATAGGATGTCTTGACCTCCGTCGTGACGTCCGCAGCTCCTAGTGTTCGCGTAAAGCGAGGCTCATAACCTGACAGAATGTGGCGTCCTGCAGCAGCGGAGGTGGCGGTGCTGCTGTAGCTCGTAGACTTTGTAGTCTACAACAGAGGTTACACTGCTGTCACCGCTCTATCACAGAGAGAGGTTGGTCTACACTGCTGTGAGATCGGTAGGCCCGAGCGAGCTTTGGAAAGAGAAATGTAAATAGATGTGGTTATCAACTGACTCCCTGGTCAGGCTTTGATGGGTGCTAGATGAGAGTGAGCACAAGGGGCGAAGGCGCGCTTGTGTCTCATCTCAACAACAAAACAAAAACAAAAAAACAACCAGCAAAAACACAGCAGGTTCCGAGGGTCTCCGGGGTAATGACCCGAGTACCGGAATTTCGGGGTTCGGAACAATAAAACAACTACAGTGTCGCCTGCCAAATTATCTACGCTACAACTCTGTGCTCATGTTCTCTGCTGAGTACCATCTCTTCTTTCTGTATTATGTCTACGGAAGGCTAGTTGCCGCAGTCGCACCTATTGTAAACTGTGCCTGACTACGTTGTAACAGTTTTCCTCGACAGGACGAAGAGGAGAGCAGAGTGGATAAGGGCGCGGACAAGGCTGGTGAGAACAAGCAGGGGGAGTCGAGCAAGAAGATAGCCGACGACGTTGACAATGAGAGAGCAAGATCAACCCCGCCAGACCTCCGAGGCATCACTTTATTGGAAACCCATCGTGCCGTGCTCCAGTTGAAAAAAGAGGTGTTCTTCCGATGGAATTTTACCGTAAGTATGAAGAGTACCACGTGCGGCTACACGGAAATATACCCCCAGGGGCTGGGGTCGGCGGGATGCGTGTACGGTCGGGTTGCAACCATAAACGAGAGGGGTTCGTCAAAAGTGTTGCGATCGGCAAGAGCCCCACCGTCTTGTACTCCATATGCAGGGAAGATGGAAGATAGCTCCGATGATAGCAGGAGGGTCCACGTCCGAAGTTCTCGAGCAGGCCTTCGAAAACCAGGGTGTGTTGTTTCGCTCCAAGACGAAAAGCGCAGGTTTAACATATTTCTTTGCGCTGCCCTGTGCATAGCGTATGGACACGTTACAACTTCGTGTGATTCAAGACACGAACCTCGACAAGGAACCCTTGCCTGGTAAGAAGGTAAGAAGCTATTTAGTGGGTGGGACGGAGAAGGAGGAGGAAGAGGGTACAATACGAAAGTTCATCCGGGACACCGTACACAATCTTAGAGGGGTGGATAACGTAAGCGCTCACAAACGCGATCTGGTTTCTGCGGACGAAGATCTGGCGAGGGACACTAAGAAAAAATGATCCTTTTTGGAGATGCTGTGGGTGTCAGATAACAAGGATGGGCGTTTGTTTGGGAAAGTCTGGCGTAGGGTTTCACGACAATCCCCTGGAGTTCGTCAAGCATATATAGTGAGAGGGGCACAGGAGTCGTGGGAGTTGGAGCGTTTCACTAGCATCGATTCATGTGATTCACCCGTTGCTAGTGGCCTTTTCAGCGAGCTTCCTTGTGGCTACGTAATAGACCAAGGGTACAACTGTAGTGATAAGAAAACGTTGAAAATGAAAATTCGGAGTTGGGTGGGCATGGTGTACCCTTCAGAACGATTTTGGCCAGAGCATCCAGTGGCAAGGAGAAGGAATAGGATCGGAGATTCAGTTGGTGCACGCAAGTCCCACCAAGCAACCTCCTTTTGGCGACGAGACCCGTTCACCTCGGAAGCATCAGGGGTACGTCGGAACACAAGTCGAAAGCGACTCCCACGCGGAAAAACGACCAGTTCTTCAACATTGCCTCGAGATCGCGAAACCAGATATTATCAAGACGAGCAGATTGTGATCACCTATTACGAGAGTTACAAGAGGGGGGCTGCCCAGAGGAAGAACATTGCGACGAACATCGAACACGGTCATCCGCAATATGGGGAACGGAAGGAAACACGACCGAGGCAGACTCGATTCCACCGTCGAGCCGAAGGAGCGGAGAAAGAAGCTGGAAATGGCGCACAGCATCTTGGAAACGAATGGTATACTTCCTATCGTCTCCAAGGTGAACACCGAGGAGGTCGACATTCACGTGTTGGGAAATTCGGGCCAAAAACAAGAAATACTGGCAGAGGAAGGACGAGAGTCACCTAGAAGTGGACTGGATATCCCCTGTCGTCGGGAGCTGCTGGGGCAGCTGAGGAAGCTGGAGGCGAAACATCCGGGGAAATTGCCAGCAGACAAGCGTAAGACCTTGCAAAAGCGCATGGAGATTGCCAGCAAGAGCAAGCTTGGCGATACAACGGGACCATTTGACGTCAACGGCAAGTGCTTCGGTGGCAAGCGGTAACGGGATCTGATGAGATACATCGAGCGCCCGTAAATAGGCGGAGGTGAGCACTTGTTGTTGGAAAGCATATTTGGCGGGTTTGGCAGAAAACCGAAGTGGTAAAAATGTGTGGATCACTTTGACATTGATATATGTGTATTGTCTCCTCAGTTCCGTTCTTTTGTCATTTTCTCTCTCCCCCGTGCAATCCCCCCCCCCCCCCC